TGACTATTATTTGGCGACAAAATTTATTTTAGTCGGAAAAAATTAGTATACTATGACTAAAATAAAATTTAGTAGCTGAAAAACTAGAGTAATGGTGACTAATAATTTTTTTAGTCGCCTATTGTGAAAATTTCCCAACTAATGCTTTTTTTAGTCACTAATAAATAATATACACATACTAAAATAATTTAGCAGCCAAAACCTAAACCAACGGAGACAAAAATAATTTGTAGTCGCCAAAAATTGACCTTTTGGCGACTAAATCCCTTTTAGTCGCTAAATTTGGTTGCCAAAAGTGTAAATTGTTGTAGTGTGAGATTGCGAATTCTTCCCCAAAAATGAGCATGAGATTGCGAATTCCCAACAATTGGGTCTTCAGTAATGTGACACCAAGCTCTACAAATTGCCATATCTTCTTGAGTGGTAAATGATTTTCCTCTCTTTGTTTTTGATGAACCTTCCATACTAATTGAGTGAAAAATAAAAAAGAAAAATATAATTGAAGATATTTTTGCTATGAACTCAAATTTGTGAAACAAGTTGTGTGTATTTATACTACTACAAAAATATGACCATTTTTTTTTAGCCGTTTAATTTATAACCGTTGGTGTATTGTCTGTTTGGAAAAATAGCCATTTTTTTACTTCCAGATTAAAAGATTGAAATAGAGCCATTGGGCTCATGTTACACATTCCAAGACACATCTCACTATTGGATCTTTATATAATCCAACGGTCGAGATCAACCTCTCGAATCATCCAACTCTCTCTCTCTCTCTCTCTCTCTCTCAACTCTCTCCATCATTCATTCACTCTCTCTCTCTCCTCTATCTCTCAACCGACAAGTTCACAGGAGCAACAAAATGCCACACAAAAGCACTCAAATCCACCATTGGATTAGAATCTACCTAATGGAATAAAGTGGCTGAACTTTGTCGTGGGCCTTATCACATACGTACATAGAGCTTTCAAATGTAAAATTTGGTGGTTTGATAGAAAAATTATTAGCTGCAAATAGAATAACATGTGTCTTCCGTCAATTATAAAACATTGCTCTCTATATTAACATTTAAACACTAATATAAAAATTATGAATCTTAATATCTAAACCAACTAAAATGGAGAAGAGCATCACATAATAATATACCCTTTAAGATATGCAATAATTGCTATTAATATGATATTAGAACTCTTATTTTAGATACTTAATTCTTGTTAGAAAATGATATATAAATCCACTTTATAGACATTGATTGATAATTAAAAAAAAGATAGGAGAGAGAGTTGTCTCACATATTCTAGTTGATGCCATATTATTGGGTTTGAAAAGTAAGTTTAATTCTTGTTATTCACCTTATGATTGTTATTAACACGTTATGCATTCTATTTCAACAACATTATAAATTCAGGCTTATTAATTCAGAATTTATCTAGAAAAAATAATCAGTGGCTCAAATTCATTTTATTCATAAACCACACACTTTAACAATTTAATTTCCACCACACAAACACATTCACGATAAATCATGAATTGATAAGGGTGGGTTCAAAACTTTTTTGTTCTACTATATCTATTTTTGTTTATCTTGTTTAGCATAATTTATTTCAGTCCACATATAAAATTGAATATTATTGAGCTTATTTTTTAATATTTTCGATGATCAAACATATATAACAGATAAAAAAAAGTTTCTACACCTTACTTAAAATTATTTCAGATTTAGGATGTAGATCTAATTTTTGTTATTGTGGGATTACTTCATGAATTATTCATCTTGACATTAAATGTTAAATTTTTGAATTTTTTTTTTTAAAGATATATAGACCTTCTGTAAACATATATGTTTGCTTTATTTAATTAAATTATTTTTTTAAAAATAGTGATCTAACATATATACATATGTGTGTTTCCATTATTTAATGAAATAACCTTTTTTAACTTTTCAAGAAACTTTTGTTTTTTTAACGTTATGCTAGTTGCAAGAAGAAGATAAAAAAAACACAGAAAAAAGAGCAGAGGAGGCGTGTTTGGAAACGATTGGATTGTTTTGGAGTGTGTTTGATATATTCAACAATTGGGGTTTCATCACGGGGGCGGGTGGAATAGATCTCAGCTCAATTCACGAAAAAACAGTGAGCATTGTCTGACCATCTTTAAGTACAATATTTATGCTATTTTTCTTTCAATCTTTGTTTGATTCCCGTGTTTCCCCATTATTAATATTGTGAACTCTGTATATATATATGTATTAAAATAATATGCAAAGACTCTTTGAATTTGAGTAAAATAACAGTCACCCAAGAATGTACCATGCCTTAAATCATGGAAAATGTGAGAGTTAATACTGTTTTCGATTGAGGGATTTGAGAAGGAATTTAGAAAGGAAAATGAAAAAGGTAGGTGAAATGTGAATAAAACATACTTATATTTCACCTAATTTTACACACATTTTCTTTTTTCTTTTTCCTTTCTAAATCCCTTCCTAAATTTCTTAACCAAACACAGTTTAAGAGTGCATGCACCATTGTATTTTAATGGAATATAAACCAATATATATATACATAATTTTTTTTTTTGTAAAGAATCATATCATTGAAAGCCTATTAAGATAGTTTTAAGGATAAATTTTATTGACATTTCTACATTTTTGTATAACATTTTAATCTCTCTATCATCATTTTTATTCATTGAATTATCAATAATCTCTCATATCGAAATGGATTGATAAATTCAGCATAATACCCCCACTCTATCCACATATTCACGACCCATTTCTTCCACAATTCTCTTCTACTAGCCACCCTCATGACTCCGCCACTTATCGCCCCTATTTTCCAACCCTCCACCACCCCAGAAGAGAAAAAAGAGCAAATGGTAAGACACGACACCATCGACTACTACTACCTCTGCAACCTCCTCTACCATCGCAGCCCTCATTTTTCACCCACCTCTACCCCTAGCCATTTTGAATATTATTTAAATATATATATATACATATATACATGTTAATGCATATATTAGTTTTAGATATATTATATTTAGATTTATCTTTATCTCCTTGTATCTCTATCTCTCTCTATCTCTATCTCCTTTTATACTTATCTAAATTTGTGTTCAGCCTATAAATACAGGCTCTCTTATTGTATTCAATTCATTCAATATACACAGATATACAGTTTTCCTTTTCTTTCAACTATTCTAACATGATATCAGATACACTTTATTATCTCTGTTCCAGCACTGCTTCATTGCTATTTTCACCCAAATTTTTTTTTTCCTCACCACTAAACTGATTGAAATCTCCTCATGATTCCAACGGCACCGACCATTCATTCAACATACACAGATATATAGTTTTCTTTTTTTTTCAACCATTCTAACAATACACATTTGGGTATACAATATTTTTCTTTAACATGCACCCTAACCACCATAAAAATAAAATACAATAGAAAGAATAAAAGCCCATATCATCTACTCGGGATTTACTTCATTTGATGAAAGTGTCAGTTGTCCTTCATTTCAATAATGTATATAATTTTATGCAACTTGTATCAAGGGACAAATTCAACACGAAAATGAAAAACTGTGGATTGAACTAGAAGAGTACTAAAGCTTTAAAATGCAAATTAAAGATCCTACAGTCCTTTAAAAGGAATAATAATAATAATAATAGGACATAAAAATATTTAGTACACATTAATATGTAATAATTAGACGTTGTTTTTAAAGACATAAAAATCCTTTTATGATGAAAGGGATAGAACAGTAGTACTATTTCCATTTCCTCAAGTTAACATTATCATTAATTTTGCCTTCCTTCAAAGGTTTCCAAAACATAAGCTCATGATGCAAATGGAGACATCAACATACAAGGACCCTGTATTTGTTGTGAAACCTTCAATTTATTCATACTAAAATTACATTAAAATAGAGGATACAAAAACATGATCTTCAAAATATAAAAAATAAAAAATTAAGGACAAATTATACCTGTCATTCTAATAATCTGTCTCTTGTTTCAATTTCATCCTCATAGTTTCAATTATATTAATTTTGCCCCTTTTTTTCACTGTATTGATATAGTTCAATTGATAACATCTGTTTAAATTTTAGACAAAAATCAAAGACAAAATAGACAATTTCAAATTAAAAGTCAAAACCTCTCAATCTATCTGATCAATTTTACCTATTGGTTTCAGTACAATTTCTAAAGGAACGTCGTCAATTAGACTAAATTCACCCAACATAAAAAATTTAACGTAAAATTGATACAATTAAAATTACAAAGAATAAATTGACATAAAAGACAAACCACAGAATTACATGTGCAATTTGTCCAAAATTAAAACATTCTCCCACCAAATCAAAAATATTTTCACAAGTCAAAAAAAAAAAGTCATAAAAGGGAAAGAAGTAGTTGTGTAATAGAAACATTAAACTTTGGAAAATGCTATGGATCTCAAATAAATTATTAAATTTTCTATCAAACCTCTTACATGGATGTAGGACTCACACAAATCACATATGTGTAAGTCCCACACCCACATAAAAAATTTGATAAAAAATTAATAATTTATTTAAAATCCCTAACGTAACTCTTATGAACTTTAAAGACAAAAGTCTGTATAATAATTAAAAATTATTAGATACACAATTTTCCAGATTAAATACTGAAATATGAGATGGAAGAAGCAACGACATTCAGACAAATAAAATAATAATAAAAAAAGAAGTGGTTGGACTTAATTGATTAATAGACCACCCTCAAGGCGCAAATAAAATAATAAAAAAAGAAGTGGTTGGGCTTACTTTGGCTTCAATTTCCCATTCACTCGGTAATGGTTTTGAGCAACCAAATATACCACGTGAATCACAACGCGGCATAGAACGCGTTACCACTTTGACCCGAGTAAATCGACACTCGGGGTCCACCTAAAAAATAGACCAAACTTGAGGAAAAATTAACCATTTCCAACAAACATAACAATAATTCTTTGATGAATCGGTGGTCAATCATTCAACTTGGCACTAGTAAGTGTTGTGGGTACTTTGCCCAAATTGAAGCATTGCATCAAAGTGGTGTTAACGAGCAAGACAAGGTATTAATTATATTGATCTTTATACTTCTCCTAGCATTTTCATTTTATGTTAGGAACCTAATTATTGGTTTTTAATTTTTTATTTTAGATTGGCAAGACAAAAATCATGTACCAAGAAGTTAATAAAACCTCATTTCAATTCGAACATTGTTGGAAAGTGTTAAGGGATCAACCAAAATGGTTCGACCAATGCCAAAAGAAAAAATCGAAAAGGATCAGAAATGATCCAACATCTTCACCTTCAATACCAGAGCTAATCAACCTAGCAAAAGATGATATCTCACCCTTGGAGAGACCTATGGGTAGGAAGGCAGAAAAGAAGCAGTTAAAAAAAGCAAAGAACCATGATAGTTGTTCTCCAATTGTGGATTTACTGAATGAGATGAAAGAAGAAATAAAAAGAGGAACTGAGAAGAAACTTGAACTTCTTCAAAAATCTTATCATATTCATGCTTCAAGGGTTCGAACCGAACAATTGAAAGAGGAAGAGAGAATCATGATGATTGATACAAGTGAGATGTCCCCAATGCAGCAAGAATATTATCGTCTACGCCAACTGAAAATCATTGAGAGTAGGAAAAAAATTAATGATGTGGGGTAATTACATGATTTCTACTTGGATGATTGTAATATTTGACATGTTTAACATGCCTTTGTATTTGGATGTTTTTGAAATGTTTCTGGAATGTTTATGTTTGGATGTTTTTGGAATGTTTATGTTTGGATGACTTCATGTTTAAATGATTGAATCCTAAATGGCTTCCTTGTATGTATGTTGTGGGCAGCAAAACTGAACTGGAGCAAAGTTGGGCCAAAAAGTCATGGTTGTCCACCCGGATGTCCTGTGAACCGGTCGACCGCCCGGTCGTCTGGCCAGTCGACCACCTTGGCTCCTGTGTTGCTGCTGCTCTGTTGTTGCTCTGGTGCTATCTTGGGCCTTATTTTATACCTTTTTTAACATTATTTTGCACTCCAAAAATATGGTTAAACACAAGGAGCATTTAAGGATTATAATGATTTAATTAAAATTTTTCAATTCAATTATAATCCATTTTTCATTACTAAAACAAATAATTAAAAAAAACATACATTTATTTGCCACAAAATAATTAAAACATGACACAATGTCCTATGACTGGCTATATAGTTGCCACAAGTGCTCAACAAGATCTGATTGGAGTTGAGAATGAATTGCTCTGTTTTTGATGCGGTGATTTTGTTGAATGAATTCCATAAGCTCGGTTGTACGCTCATGTGACACTTGTGCCAAAAGGGATTCATCGATTTGTTCAAAATCAATGTCTTGTGCTTCATTGTCATCTCTCTCATCCTCAATAATCATATTGTGCAATATTATACAAGCCTTCATAACAACTTTAATTGACTCAAGATTCCAAGATCGTGCAGGTCCACGCACAATTGCAAAATGTGCTTGAAGCACTCCAAATGCAGGCTCCACATTCTTCCTAAATGCCTTTTGGGCCATAGCGAAATGTTTTTTCTTGTTTCCTTGTGGATATGGAATTGTTTTCACAAATGTTGCACATGGTGGATATAAACCATCAGCAAGATAATATCCCATTATATACTCATTATCGTTGATGGTGTAATTGACTGGAGGAGCACACTCTTGAGTAAGCTCAGTAAATGCAGTAGACCTTTCTAGTATATTGATATCATTATGAGACCAGGATAACCCAAAAAATGCATGCCATATCCAAAGATTATATGATGCAACTGCTTCCAAAATAATTGTTAGTTCATGGGTGTGACCAGTATACATACCTTTCCATGCAGTAAGTCAATTCTTCCATGTCCAATGCATACAATCAATGCTTCCCAGCATTCCAGGAAAGCCACGACTTTTGCCAACTGCTAGTAGTCTAGCAATGTCATTGTTGTTTGGTGACCTTAAATATTGATCGGAACAAATTTCAACCACCGCTTTGACAAAATAAAATAGACTCTTCATTTGGGTACTTTCTCCAATCCTCAAGTATTCATCCATAAAATCAGCTGCTACTCCATAAGCGAGAACTCTAAGTGCTGCAATCATCTTCTGAAGGGAAGATAAATCGAGCACTCCAGCACTATTTCTTTTTTGGACAAACTATGATTCATGAGCTTCTACCGCAGATTGAATACGGAGAAAAAGAGAACGTTTCATTCGAAATCTCTTCCGAAATACATTGGAAGGATATACTGGTGGATTAGCAAAATAATCTAGAAAGAGTCATTGGTGACCTTGCAAAGAATTGCGCCAAATGAATTTGTGGCATCGATTAGAATTATGTCGTGATCTTGATGAACTATTGGCTGCTAGTCGTTGCCCTTCCATAACAGCTATCCCAATTGTCTCTAACTCATCGTTGGTGTCAAAGTCATAGAGAATTATATCGTCTAGCGAATGAAGATCCATATAGAGAAAATAAATACAAAATGAAATAGCAAAATTAGGCTGATGTGGATGAAATTTAGATAGCAATTGGTTTTATTTATATTGAAAGAATATGACCGCTGGAATATGACCGTTAGAATATAACTGTTTTAAAAATATGACGGTTGGAAAAAAATATATTTAAATTGAAAAAGATAAAAGAATAAAAAATAATATTTTAATGAAATAGAATTTTAGAATAGAGAGTTTGATGTAGTGTGTATATAAAAAGAGGCTAACTAAAATATAAAATTGGATTTTGGATTATAATTTGACTCAAAATTTGCTGAGCCTGATGCAGATGCTCTTATAGATGAAAATTTGATATTTTCATCTCATTTACACTAAAATATTTTTGTTTTCTTTTTGTTTTTACAATATTTAGATTAGTTTTAATCACTTTTACTTTACTAAAAGAAATGTTAGTGTAATTATGCTAAAATTGTAGTACTACTGTATTTGTTTTCCAACCTTAAGGGAGATTAGTGTAATTTACCTAAGAAATAATAATAAATTGGATCTGGCTTCCCTCTAGTTCCCTCCAGTTTATGATATGGACTAGATAACAAGAAGGTGTTGTTCGGGTTCGCGAGGCTTACTACGGGTCCCATTTCGATGATCTAAACTAATCATTTTGTTGGGTCCTTTGTATATATCATCTAAAAAAAAAAAATTAAATCGATTTGATAATCGTAGACTATTTTCAAAAATAAATTTTGAAATCTCAACAAGATAGAGCTGTGGTTTTTCCTACTCAAATATTTGTATGTGCACAAAAACATATTTGGATAAATAATATATGTTAAGATTAAACTCTTGTATGGTGAAATACACATCTTAAATAATTCTTAACCATAAATTAAATATTGTGAATATATATATTTTTTGTGCAACAATTATCTGTATGTAGGTAGCACCGCTCTATTTACAAGGTGAAACGGTCAATTAAGGTCAATTTTTTTCTCTTTGGTGAAAAAAGTGGGTGAAAAATGTCATATATCATCCCACTAGGTCAAAAATCCAAATCACATCCATATAAATGGATTGAAATTTCTAACCACGTGTGGCAAGAGTTTTTTTTTTTTTTTTTAAAGTTACAAAAAATAAAATAAATCAAAAAGTTAATAAGATAAAATATCACATTTAAATCATAATCATTTCGTTTTTTTCTTAAAAAAGTCAAAAAAATTAAAAAGTCTATTCCAAACGAGGCTTTTTAACTTTAAACTAAAATAGTCAAAAAATAAAAAAATCAACCCATATCCCGAATGAAAACTAATGTTTTTATTTTTATTTTTTTCCCTATTTGTTACTTTTTTTGTCAATATGAGTTAAACAACTCAAACTTTTGGGTTAGAAATTTTATAACATGCACCTAAAAGAAAGGTGGAATGGTCCTCACTGCTTCATTTTTTCCATCGAAGATCATAATTTTTGTTGACGGTAGTTAGTTCAAAACTGTTATTTTCAAATAGGATAAATTACAAATACATCTTTTGAGATTTGCTTAAAATACGAATTATCCCTTGTGGTTTGAAAAATTACAAATATCTCTTTGTCAGAATTTTTTATTTAATAAAATTAATTGAAAAAGTGAAATTTCTAACTGTTCACTTATATAATAATAAAATTATCTGAATTATTAGTTGAAATAAAATTTTAACATTATTAAAAACTGTTAATTAACTTGATAATTTATTAATAAAATGACCTATTTGTTATAAAATTAAAAACCTTAGGTAGCATAATGTAATTTCTAAAATTACAAAAAATAATTATAATTTAAATAAATTTCAGGGAGTGTGTTTGTAATTTACCCTTCAAAATAATAATTACTCTTTTTGTGGAAGAAGCCATATGCACTAAAAGCCATATATTCAGTCCAAGCCCATACCAAATAAGACTTAGATTAGGTTGGGCCTAGTTGTTGAAGTAGTTCGGGGCATTCTACTACAACTCAAAAAAATATCTCAGTACGCCTAATTTAAATTTATAAATTTTAATTCTTATTATATTTAATGTAAATTTAATAATAAAGATAATACTTATTAAATCTTAAATTTTTTTCCCCTTATTGTACACCCTAATCCATTATTTCTATTCAAATCTCTTCATCTTTTTCTCCAAAAGATTAAAGTTGTTTTGTCTTCTTCTTTTTCTTTTTCTTCTTCTTCTTTCTCACTCCAAAATTCCAATCCACCCTACCAAAACTCACCATTAGCATCAACATCATTGTTTTTTTTATTATTTTGAAATCTAAACCCTAAAAGAAAGTTTGAACAAAATCAAACAATAAATGAAAGTGATAATCAAAATAATTTTTTAAAACAACCCATCAAAGAGGAGGTAAGCATTCATATAAAAATTGAAATACAATTATTAATTTCTGTATTTGTTCACATGTCTCATTACAATGTTAAATCTTTCAATTTTCATAGTCACACAAATAGCATTACAGCTTCCGAGATAATCTTTCAACTCAATGACCATGACAAAAATTGGTTTCTATATGCTACGACACCTTTTAATAATTATTATTTTTTTTTTTTCTGTCCTTTAACTCTTTTTTTTCTGTTGAACTTTATGTTTGTTCTGAAATTTTTTTTTATTGTTTCTATCATTCCTGTATCAATTTGAAAGGTTTTCCAAATGTTTGTTTTTTTAATTTGTTTATTATTTGTTATTTGGGTTTATTAAAGATAACTTAAGAAAAGTTGTAAAGTATATTCAAAGTAATATAAAATTTTAAATAATTGAAAATGGTGTACTTCGGAATAGCTACTTTTGGGGGCAAATAGAATCTCCCAAGTAGTTCAGTCAGTTGGCCCGTTAAAGGAGTCTCGGCTGCTAATTGGATAGAAAATATCAAAAAATAAGAAAAAAAGTTCCAAAAGTAGGTTCAAATCTCAATCTATTGGGCTTAGCCTACGGGCTGACTTGTTAGTCATTTGGGTCAAGCCCATTGGTGAGGGCTTGGGATTAAAGTCTTTTGCCTAGCTACCCGACCCAGCCTATCAGAAAATAATATTGAAATTTTAAACATAAAAATTGGTTTGGAGCTACAATATGTTTCAAAAATTTTACCATTTTTTTTGTTTTCCCCCTCAAGCACAAACATAATTAACTTCAAATCCTTTCATTTTTCACCGTTTCCCTTCCCCTCTTCCCACAAATGGTATTACTTATGAGTCATTTTCATGTCGTATCCTATGAGAATTGACTAAATTACTGTCTATTACTAAACTAATATCACTATTGACGGTGTTTTGTGAGTTTTTTTTAGATTGACATGTTTTGTGAGCTAATGCCATAAATAATGCTCTAATGCCAGGTCAGTAGTGTAAATAGTAAAATTTAGTATTTTGCTAATTGTTTTTTTGGTAGTACTAACTGTTATTTTGTTCAATCAAATTACCATTTGCGCTTTAGCTGGTATGGTACCAACAATGCAATGTATCAATATATCTATACTACAGTAAGAGTTGCTTTGAGTTTATTGTTTATGCATGGGTGGCTTGTTTTTTGTCCTATTTCTGCAAGAATTACCCTCTGTTTTCAGGGCTTCCTTTGTTGTAGCAAGTCCTTTAATGGAATTTACTTGTTCTTCCTTCCACTGTTACATTCATGTGGCTACTACATGGACATAGCTTACCTCACTATGCAAATGTGTTAGTGGATTGAATTAAATAATATAATTATATTTACATAGTCACCATCTTATGTAATGTTCTGATATTACTGTTACACTGTGGTTTTGCTTAGGAAAAAAATAATTTCAAGAGGCCTAAGAGCGTATCCAAGCAAAACGTCATTTAACAATATATGATATTTTCTAAACACCTCAATCAAGTTTTCATTTGCCAAAGTAACATTTAATAGTGGAGTGATTGATTATTTGGTAGTGTTGGAGTATTATCTCATATCACTTATCACTTGTTCTCAAAATTCTAATAAAAAGTATTGAATCTCACAATTTCAACCAATAAATATCAGGCTGGAATATTGCTTCACATCACTTATCACATGACGCTTGTCAACTTGTCTTTCAAAATTTCAATAAAAAGTATTCAGTGTGTTTGGTTTAAGTTTTTTAGATTAAGTTTTTTGAAAACTGAAGTTTTTGTTTTTTTTTTTTTTTTTTCCTTTTGTTTTTAGTGAATGTTTTTAAAATTTTAAACATTTTTTTTTACTTTTTTAGATGCACCTCACTTAGATGTATCTAAAAAGTAAAAAATTTGTGAAAAAATATTTTAAAAAATTAATAAATACATAATAATATAAAAAATGTACTGAATTCTCTTTTTTTTTTTGTATTTTTAGTATTTAGTGAATTTTTAAAAGGTTTTTTTTACAATTTTTTTACTTTTTAGTTATATTTATATTAGGTATGTCTACAAATTAAAAAAATTGCTTAAAATATTAAAAAAATTCAGTAAAAATAAAAAAATACAAAAAACAAGAAAGTAAAATTTTCTGAAAGTGTTTTTGGAAAACTCGCAAGCAAAGTGATTGCATCTCACAATTTCAACAAATAAATTTCACATTAGAGCAACATGTGAATTTGTCCCAAGAACACTACATAATTTTTTTTGGTAGTATTGTCCACCCATATTAAATTT